TTTAAATATTGCTGTGATGAAGGTAACATTTGCCTTTCTGTTTTTTCACATTCACAACACAGAATAGTGGTTGCAAACAGAGTAAGGGTTAAGATTTTTGACATGCAATTACATGGTCAGGTATTCCTGATTTCAGTTCTGTATGTTCTGGCCTGTTTTTGATGCACCTTGTAATTGTCAACAGATGCTAGCCCTCTGCCCTTAAAGAATAGAGTCAGTTCTGTGGGCAGACCATTTCCACAAGGAACATACAAGGGTTGGCAGGCACTTTGAGCTTTTTCTGGGCACTGTTAGGCCACTCTGTTGCTCATCAGAAGCCAATACCATGGCAAGGCAGTACTGTAGCCATGCCCTTTGTATCAGCCAGTAATATTATAGTGTCATCGGCTCCTTAACCCTTATGGTCTTTGAAAGTTTTCATAATTTACTATATATAATGGCCAAGATCTTGTTGCTTGGTGTAGTAGATTGCAGAAGAATAGGCCTATTGAATCAGTGAGGATTTGTTGAGTCAACAAATCTGTAAGTTTCATTGATTAAAATGGGCATACTCTACAGCTTATGATGTTAGAGTAAGTCACAGTTACGGTAGGCCCATTTGAACTAATGGAGCAATTGACTCACCAAACACTCATTGATTCAGTGAGTCTACTCTACTGCAGTCTACTATGCTAAGTGACTGGATTTTGACCAATATTAATAATTTTCCCTTTCTTCTATTTCTAGGATTTAATAGGCCTTGTCCTGTAGGATGAAAAGTTGGTTGCATAGTAAAAAGCTAAATTTTATTTTATTTTATTATTTTATTGCCATTCCTTGAGAACTGGGGCCCTGGGTAGTTTGCAACATAGTTTAAAAATTAGAAAAGTAAAATACAATAAACAAATATTAAAATGGAATTATATTCGTTATATTATTAAAATATAATTAATTTAAAAAAATACAATTGTTTAATTAAAATACTAATACCAGTTTACTTAAAAAGAGAAAAAAAATAATATATCATTTAAAATACTGTGGTTTGAGTTTATTAACTGCCAAAGCCCTTGTCTAAATAAAAAAAAAGGCTTTGCTGGTGGAAGGATGGCGGGTAGGGAGCTATCATGGCTTCTCTGGCAAAGATTTCCACAGTCTGGGAGCAAACATTGTAAAATGTATCTTAAAATACACTGTTTCCCATTCTGTTATCTTTTCCTTGCTAGTGCTTTCTTCTGGGATGGCCTTATTCAGTATTGTTTATAGACAAGGCATGTACAAATTATTATTTTAACAATTTTAATTCTAGGAAGCCTCCTGCTTAATTAACTTTCCTTCCATACCCCTCAACCCAATAACAAACATCACATGCACATACACACACACACACACATCCCTCTTTGTAATAAAAGAACTTTCTAAAACAATACTGAGTACACTCATTGTGAAGTAGACATAACATAAATACAAACATGTTTTATCATAATAGTCATAGAAGCTTGGCTGGAGGCTGAGAATTACAGTATATATGATACAGTCATTGTTACCTCCATGGATTTATCCTTCTTCAAACAGGCTACAGTTGATTTACTCTGTACTGTGGGCACCCTTCACACACACACAAAAAGCATAAGTGGTCGGCTGCACGGGGAGGCAGAGAAGCAGCAGCCGGGCTCCTTCCTGGATTGGTGTGATGAAGGACCCCAAGTGTTGCGCAGCAAGCAGCGAGTGGGCCAACCAGTTCAGGGGGGAGAGAATTGGCCTCTATGGCACATGTGGTGCCAGAATTTATATTCATATGGCCAGGGATATGAATACGAATAGCCCATGTCTAGTGCAGACCAAAGGAGTGCTGAATCCGTTATCTTTTGACGGTTAGTAAGCATTCTTGTTTGTACTTACAGTGGAGAAGTAATGTTTGACAGTGCTAGGACTTCTACATATGGAAGCATCCCAATTCTGGAATTACATGAGAAATCAAATATGAAAGCTCGTACAAAGTGTAACTATTTCATTAAATCTTATAAATTTCATGCCTCAGAACATTCTGTTTGTATCAGAGGAGTGGCTTTTATTCAGTTATTTTTTTAAAATGTAATTTACAAAGATAGCACAAATTGGTTCTTAGGTGATGACCGCAATTTCCTTTATTCCGTGTAATTTCATGAGTACATAAAATTGTACATGAGAAATAAAGGTACTTTTGTGTTCAGTTTCTGCACTTTGCATGGTTTTGTACAGTTTTATACACACAGATTGATTCAATTTATATTATTTTCCCTGTTTATAAGTACATTGGCAGGGACAACATCATTCTCATATATTTCTATGTTACAGATAGTTTCTTATTTAGACATAAGAACCCCATTTGATTTAGCCAGAAGAAATTAACCACATTATTCTCTGAAAATTAAATCCTTTTAGAAATCTTCTCTGAGGCATGTCAAGCCTCTATGCAGTACAGATGCAAGTTTCTTCTTCTTCAAAATAGGTTGATTTTGGTTGCTTTAATGTTGGAAAAGAGTTTGGAAAAGAAGTCAGAGAGGCAGTATGATACCTGTTTTCAATTATTTGAAGGTCTATCAAAAAGAAGATAGAGTAAGCTTCCTGTCTGTGCTTCAGAAGGGTAGGACTTGAATGAAAACTTACCACATTATAAGTAGATTTTCACTACACATCATAAAGAATGTTGTGACATTCAGTCCTAACAGAATAGTTTGACAGTAGAATGGACTGCCTGGAGGAGTAGGGACTCTTTCAGTGGTGTTTTTTTTTTAAAAAAAAAATGGTGGCTAGCTTGTTATCTGCCAGGGATGCTTTAGCTGCAATTTCCTGTTATGAAAGAGGGTTGCACTTCCTTCTCACTCTTCAATTTTATGATTCCATTATTCTAGGTGTGCATATTTTTATTATTAAAAAGGTTTAGTTGTTTTCACTGATGTTTCTGTCTACCAGGCTCCAAAATCTCCCTTCTGTGGTTTACAGAAGATAGCCATATAATCTTGTTTGAAGTAACAAAAACACAATTTTGCTTAATGGTGAATTGAGAAAGGTACAGTGTGGCCTGCTATATATTCTAATATTAGAATATATCTTAGAATAAATATATTCTAATGAATGGTAAGGATTGGGAGCTTTATCAAATGCCTGGTTTCCCTGAAAATAAGACCTAACCTGAAAATAGGTCCTAGTATGATTTTTCAGGATGTTCATAATATAAGCCCTATTTTCAAAATAAGCCCCAGTTGAGTGAAAGCCTGCCCTCCACCATTGTGCAGCTACCAGAAGATGACAGGACTGTATTTGAATAAATATAAATTTATGTAGATAAATGTAGATCCCCTAAAAATAAGCCCTACCGTGTTTTTGGAGCAAAAATTAATATAAGACCGTCTTATTTTCAGGGAAACACGATTGTAAGCTTTGTCACATTAACTGAATTATACAGTGGCTGAAGTCCAGTAGTAAGTTGCGACTAGAATGAGCCCATTGAATCAGTGAGAATTTAGTAAATCAACACTTATGTAAGTTCAATTAACTGAATGGTTCTACTCTAGTAGCAGCTTACTCCTGGATTTCAACCTTTGTTAATCTGTCATCACCTGCCTGGGAATGCAATTACTACTAATTCTGTAGTGAGTGAGGATAATATCATAAAGCCATATTGGAAAGTAATGTTTCACTCTGAATTAACTTTGGTTATATGACATTGACAAAGTCAGATTTTTCTCTGTGATGGTATCACAAAAATCAGATCAGTGTAAGAGCCAAACAATATTGAAACTTACCTGACTTGTGTCACATCATTCCCCATCTTCCTGCTTCTGTGCTTCCTCATTGTCTCAGTTAATACTGTATTGTGGTAACCACATACTTTAATGCAACTGTGTAGAAACCATCCAGGTGATAATAATAGGGACACAATTTTTTTTCCTGTAAGATGGCATATTTCTTTTCAGACACTGTCTACTACACAACATGCACACATTACTGAAAAATTAATAATTCCCCCTTTTTGAGATAGTGTTTTATAAATATGAAAGTGTGTGCGAGTTTGACTAATCAAAATCTGTATGATTAATTGATTAAGGTTTCTTTAATTAGGCGATAGCTTTGGAAAAATAGCAAAAACAGCACTTCTGGTTACTTCCTTTTTGTGTACCCATTTAGCCACCAAAATGTTGAAAAGGGTGTAAAACGTAGCAAGGAACTAAAGTACATGTGGATTTTTTATATAAAGCTGCACAAAAATTAATAAACTGAATGGTATACTGCTAAGTCCTGGATGTATATCACTTTTAGAAATAATGTGAGACGTCTCTCATCCTGTCATTAAAATTAGATTCTGTCAAATTAAATTATAATGCCTGATACTTGGGAGTATAAGATTCTTCCTTCTCTTTGTGGTTGGGTTACAGACTGCCTGAAAAAAACCCTCCTAATCTCTTCCTGTTCCTTTCAGCACACGACTTGGCTTGCCAAAATTAGGTAAAGTGAGTAAAGCTTTTCATAACACACAGCTAAAGCGTCATTTGTTAATGGTTGCAGACCATATTTTTTATGAAGCCACAAAAGGTCCGCCATTTGAAAAAAGACACCCATCCAAATGGGGTGCAAGTGCTGCTCACTTGAAAGTGGTATAATTACCCCGTAATTTCAATTCATAATTTTAAAGGGAAAACTTTTTTTGTTTAAAATTATCCCGAAAAACAGACTTGTATTCTGTTTGCAAAAGAAGTTCAATTCCCAGAAGCACCAATACCGATCTTCAGGCTCTAGGTATGACAGGACTTCGTTGTAGTAAGGATTATGAATTTTCCATTAGCTCATGAGTGATTGTTCCACTAAGGCAAGTATTCAGATTTTTTCCCCTCCTGTTCTTGGAAGCCTAAATAGTCATTTGAGTCATGTGCAGCTTAAACAGGCTCCTTTTCAGCCTTTCCAGTAAGCTGAGGAGGGGCGGTAACATCACGATAGAACACATCCTTTGCATAGAAGGTTTTAAGTGCAAGTCCTGCTACCTGCAAGTAGGACTGGGAGAGACTGCTGCTTAAAACCCAGAAGACCTACTGCCAGTCAGTAGGCAGTTAGGAGGATGAATGTTCTGACTCAGTATAAGGCAGCTTTGTATATTCAGGTATGTTGGCATATATTCAGTGCTGGGAGAGGGCCAGGTAGGAGCAACAGGCAGCACCTAAGCTACAGATTAGCTGTTACTGTCTCAAGCCATTGATAATTACTCTTACAAGGATTGCAAAATCTCTGTTTGCCTTAGTAATGTAGAACATGAAGCCTGAGGATGTTAGATTTTATCTGGCTGTCTTGGATGTATATGGCCATGTAGTTTTGAAAATCATTTAGATCGATCCAGTATGCCGACTTGAAAGGGTACCTGATACAGTATTTTAAGCACATTTGTCTAGAGCAGGAATTGAAACTAATTAATCATTTCATGGCAGAATGATTTAGCTGCACAGTACTTGGAGACGATTAATAAGCTACAGGTTTTGTGATTTCAGTATGTTTATGATTTACATCAGTTTGATTTACTTTGAGGAATTCTTCCTAACTGACATTTCTACTACTCTTGAATAGATGTCAAGAGAAAAGGCAATGGTTTTTCTCTGTACTGTTGTTGAAGATGCAGCAGTCATTGTTGCATTTCATAAATATGACTTACAGTTCTACACTTTGACAACATTTCATGGGCTTTACTTACTAATTATTGCTAGCACTAATAATATCTAATAATGTTTCTTTGAAATAAACATTTTGCTTTTAAAAGAAATTGGAATATTCTCTATTTATTTAGCATTGTCATGATTTTCTTTCTGAGCTTGAGTGCATACAGCTGTGATTGGCCATGAAGAAACATGAATAGCACCTGTTATGATTTAGATGTTCAAAGGTGTACTGGCCTCTTGCTTCATGCATTCGTAGTGTTAGGAAATGTGCTTTTGTTTTTTGTTTGTTTTTGTATCCTGAGTGTTAGGTGTTGTATTTGACCAGTCAAGATCATTGTTGCAAGCTCAGCAGGTAGACATCCTTGACAGGCTTCCTTTCTTATTGCTTGTCTTTTCTTTTTCCAGAATGGCTTATTGGAAGGCACTCAGTGAGATTTTCTAGCTAATTAGACCTTCTACCCTTATTAAAGCCCACAGCATTCACTGAATGAGTATGACGAGCAGATTCTGGACCTCCTGTTTACTAAGGAGTACATTTCTAATAAGATGGGTCAGTTTCATGCAGAGATCAAAGATGGTGTCACTCCAGGAGTTTCCCTTCACTGTAATCAAAGAAGGCTAGACAAAAAGTGACAAGAATAGGTGGACGTGCATTCCAGCTAAGGAATTTAGTCAGTAAAAATGCAGGGAAGTGTCGCACTGTGCAGCAGAAACAAATCAAAGAACTAATTTTGCAGGAAATGTTCACTGAACAGATTCAGAAGTAACGTGCTTTGTGGAGGATCAGTAGTGTTCAGCTTTTGAGAGCACAAGTATTTCTTCTCATAAATGACAGTGGGATTCACTGTTCCCTTTTTTTTTAAAGGCATGTTTCAAGTTTTCTCTCTACTTTGTGACCCTCAACACAGTACTAACACCTTGAGTCATTGTATGATACTGGGGAGGGAAGACATGCAAGTCAGTTGGATGAATGGAACAACTTTTGTAGACAGGAAAGACATAAGTTTAACTTGGAGAAAGACATAAGATTAACTTGGAGTTACAGTTTTTCCTCTGGTCTGGAGATCACCATACATCTCCTTAACTCTGGCCATGTTACAGGTCAGTAATCACATAAATATTGCTGAGTAATCGTTTGAAAATATAATGGGTACAAAACAAGCCTTCCACACTGAATGTGAATGTTTCCTTCTTACTGTCTGGAAGTTCCAAGACTAGATTTATCTTTGATTAGATCTGATTACAGTATATCATAGGACAGCGGTAAATTCATTGCTCTGAAGGGATTTCATCAGATCTTCAGTCTGACACCCCATTCAGCAGCAAATTATTTGGGAGTGCCATTGACTTCTCACTGGAAAGTACGGATGCACAGTAAAAGGGCATACTACTACTACTACTACTACTACTAAACACAACTCACTGGAAAGTACGGATGCACAGTAAATGGGATACTACTACTACTGCTACTACTACTACTACTACTGCTACTACTGTACTAATAATAACAACAAGAACAACAACAATATGCCATCAGGTCAATTCTGACCTATGATGACCCTTTTCATGATTTTCTAGGTACAGAACACTCAGAAGTGGTTTACCATTCCTTTCTTCTGGGGGCACCCTAGGACTGTATGTGCTTTAAAAAGTGAGGGACTATTTGTTTCCAACTGATTGAAGACATTCCCATGCACAAGATGATGGTGGTGGTGGTGAGAAGAACAGTTTTTGTTACATTTATATCCTGCCTTTCCTCCAGTGAGCTCAAAGCAGTGTCCATGGCTCTCCTTTTCACTGCTTTTTTCTCACAGCAACCCTGTGAAGTAAGTCAGGCAGAAAGAAAGAGATAGGCCCAGAGTGATCTGATGAGTTTCATGGCCAAGCAGGAATTTGAACCTAGGTCTCCTGAGTTCTAGCCCAATGACAGACTGCATTACGTGAAATTATCATCTGGCTTTTAGTTGGACCCTGCTTACTGTGAGTGGTATGGTTTGCCTCATTGCCTACAAAATGCTTACGGGGGCACCTGTCTGCATGCAGGGAGCTTGCAGACACCTGAGGTAATCATGCACTACATGTGTTAATTTTCTGTTTGCATTTAATGATCTGATTCTGTAAATGCTGTTTAGTACACAGGACAAGATTTTCTACTGAGGCAGTGGGAAAAAATCCCTTGTAGCTTACCAATGCTATAGAAAGGGTTTTCTAGTCTATGGTAATTTTTTTGAAGAGACATTGTGTATGCCCCTTCTTATGGCATCCTGCCCAGCTGATGGTGGCATTATGTCACAGATAGGATGGAATGTTGATGAACTCTCAATGTTTGTCCTTCTAATGCAATGGATGTGCTGTGGAATCAGCTTCTGAAGTGCCATTGCATAGATGCTTATTTGGCTATATTAACTTTGAACAGTCATCTCTGTTTCATTTCATGCTTATTTTCTGAGTGGAAAAAAAAATCAGCAAATAAATTCTCTGTTCTTCTTTTTTGGAAAAGAAGGCAGCATTAAGTAATGTTAGTAACAAGTGTTTAACTGATGGGATAATTGGACTGGACGTTAACTGAGAAGCTTGAAAGATCTTGTGATATGTTGAAAAATGTTGTTATGGCATTCTGAGGAATTATCCCTTCCAAAAGATTTACTTAAACTTCCTTTGTTCAGCTCTAATGCGGAATCTTGAATAAATACGGTTTTTGAGAGTCCTTGCTAATAATAAATGTAATGCTTAGGCTACAGCTACCACTTGCACTAAAAGTCTCAGGGGGGAAAGAACAAAACTTAGCTACAACCAGTGCTAACGGGGGGGGGCACCTTCAATAAATTATTGGAGAATTTCTCCTTCGAATGGAGAATTTTCTCTGCTCACAAATATAGAGGAGAATTTCAAAAGGCCATTGTTAGTGCAGGTGGTGGCAATGTCCCCTGTGTTGGCAAGGCAGCCACCATTTTTCTTCCTCCACAATTCCCTTGGTGTTAATAACTTACTGTAGTGAGTTGGGTAACTGGCTGCAGAGCCAGAGGTTGGTAGTTGATTTCTTCACTGTGCCTCCCAGGAGAAAAGCCAGCCTGTGTAGACTTGGACATGCTGCACCATCCCAGAGTGGCCCCGGAAGAAGGAAATAGTAAATCACTCCTCACAACTGTCTACCAAGAACACCCTACAAAGAGTCACCATAACTCAGAGTCACCCTGATGGCACAGTATCATCATCACCATCATCATCTCAGTCTAGTGTCTTTCTAGGGTATTGTGATATTAGTGGTTGAGGCAGCTTCCTTCACGAAAAGGGGCTTTTTTTGGAAATAATCATTCAAAGTAGCTACCTATTCTTACGTAATTAATAACAACGTTAAAACATGTCTTCTGAGTAACTTTGGCTCAGTGCTTGTCATTTTTCAAGGTTTAGGACTTTCCTCAGACCTTCCAAATACTACATTTGGAATGATCATTTTAGGTACATTTGAGGTACAGTGGTGCCTCGCACAACGAGTGCACCGTAGAGCGATGAATTCGCTCTACGAGGCCGGTTATGCGATCACAAATGCGATCGCACACCGATGCCTCAGTAGGGCGAAAATCGCAGAGCGAAGGTCGGTAAGCGGTTCGCTTACCGACCTTCGCTTTGCGACCCGCCAATCAGCTGTTCGGTGGGTCCAAAATGGCCACCGGAAGCCCCAAAATGGCCATGCGCAGCGTTTTCGCGCCCTCGTTAAGCGAGGGGAGGGTGCAAAAATGGCTGCCGGCCATTGAGAAAGCATCACTGTACAGTGAGTAAAGCTGCTATTGGAACGCATTAAACTAAGTTTAATGCATTCCAATGGCTTTTTCCTTCCCGTACAGCGATGTTTTCACACAGCGAGGGTTAATCCGGAACGGATTAACCTCGCTGTGCGAGGCACCACTGTATATCTGTAATTCAGCACCTTCCCCATAAGTCATGTATCATTTGAGGGAGTATAGTGTTACATTCTTCCCCAGGAACAAGTTGAAGCTGTTGTGGCATAATTCCATTTTTCTGCTCATTCTCGGCCCTTTAGAATTTCTGTTAGGTTACTAAAAATTGGTTACTAAAAAAGCGGATGTGGTGGTGCTGCGGGCTAAACCGCAGAAGCCTGTGCTGCAGGGTCAGAAGACCAGCAGTCATAAGATCGAATCCACGCGACGGAGTGAGCTGCCGTCACTCGTCCCAGCTCCCGCCAACCTAGCGGTTCGAAAGCATGCAAATGCGAGTAGATAAATAGGGACCACTTCGGTGGGAAGGTAACAGTGTTCCGTGTCTAAGTTGCACTGGCCATGTGACCATGGAAGATTGTCTTCGGACAAAACGCTGGCTCTATGGCTTGGAAACAGGGATGAGCACCGCCCCCTAGAGTCGAACACGACTGGACAAAAAAAATTGTCAAGGGGAACCTTTACCTTTACCTTTACTAAAATACTGCATGGTGGCCAAGCAAGAATGCCACATGGGGAGGAGGTGTTTATTTTCTATTACACCTCTCTTCATCACTACGCAATTTCCCTGGGTACCCTTACTTTATAATCTGGGGGAAAAAACTGTGGAAGATAGCTTAACCGGAGGTTTGATTGAAGTGTGAGGGACATAGGTAGGTTAGCAGGCTACCACCTGCTACAAAGATGATTGTGCAGTGAAAGACAAGGCATATTCATATAATTTTGAGCAGCAGCAACAGGAGAATTTTCTAAACATTTCTCTCCTTTGAATTTTTTTTCCCAAAATCCTTTTTAAATCAAATTCAATTAAAATGGTCAAAGTTTTTCATAGGAGAATTCTTCAGCACAGCACTGGTTTGGTTTGATTTTGTCTTAGTGGGTGATACAAACTTGCTCTATGGAAGGGAAATAATTTTTAGATTGCAGTAGTTGAACATAACTTTGCAATTATTCATTTTGCAGTTCCTGAAATGGAAGCCAGGTTCCTGAACCAAATGTGCTATTTCCAAGACAGTGTGTGACAATGTCCTTTAATTTTTCTTATGTTGATGTTGTTAATGCAATTCTTGAAGTACCACAAACAAGCGAGAAGATGAGGATTCCTTTGGACCCCATCTTCTTACTAGTTACTCACCTATTAACAGTTCTAGTTTGCACAGAGATAGCAGGAACCAGGTTTGAACTTTGAATTCAAAGCAGATTTACCTGTTCTGTAGTCACACCCCTTAGTATGTATGCGTCAAGAAAAAGGAAAGTATTTATTTTCACTGTGGCCTTTCATGGATTACACTCCTCTTCTCCAATCTCTAATCCCTTTCATAGATTACACTCTTCTTCTCCAATCTGTTTGAAGGAGGAACATAGTAATCTGTAAAAACTCATGCTGAAATCAGCCTTTTAGTTTCACCATTTTGTTTTTGTTCTATCTAGATTATTCTTTTAGCATTGTAGAATTCTGGGGCTCCCGACAAGACAGATCACACACACAGTCCTTGGAGCATTTGTGTTATCCCACTGGATCCATGCATCTCTTCTTCTAGCCAAGGAGGGAGAGTGATAAAACTGACAGCAGATACAGCATCCACTTTGTTTTCCCATTTAGGGAGAAAACAATGGCTGTTAAATCTGCACACAAAAATTGCCTCTTCTGCTATGAGAGAGATCTCAGAAGCTGTGGCAGGTGAAGAAGATACAGTATTAGACTGCCCAGAATCCTACCATCCATTCCAGAATCATCTTGTCCTAATCAGTGTTTTCATGTGGCAATGATAGTACTGGTATGAAGCTTGGACCATCTGCATATGTGTCCCCATGTTAGTGCATATCGATGTATCATGCCAGCTATGTTTAGTTTTCATAGTTAGTGTGGACTAAGCATAATCATGATCCAGATGGCTTTAGTTCCTCTGCTGTGCTGTTTCAGAGTGGAACTCCTATTTTTGTAATATGCATTGCAGATTCCATTAAAGCAAATAAATTACTATTTTGCAATATAAATTGGAAATACAGAGACTATGATCTGGATTGGGAATCAAGCATGGGAGAAAACACCATGCCACAATCACAATCTAGATTAAGAGTTTTGCACTCTAATCTAGATTTTAAAAATTGCTCATTGATCACTGTTCTACAATACAACGACTCAAGTAAGAGACAGAACCCCTCTTTACCCCATATTCAGGTCCTGGTATAGATTAGTTTCCCTGCACTTGTTCTAGAGAGTAAAAGTGGGGGGAAAGCATTAAACTCTTTATACACGTTGTGAAATGGGCAACCACTCCAACTTGACTTCCAAAACTCTCTCTCTGTATAAACAATTTATAGTTCTGTATGAATGGCAACCAACATGAACCTGACACAACTAAAAAGCATTAAACTCTTTATACACATTGTGAAATGGGCAACCATTCCAACTTGACCTCCATGACTCACTCTCTGTATAAACAATTTATAGTTCCATATGAATGTATTGGAATAATATTATATAAAAATTTTGAGATTTCCAGTTCTTGATTGTTATCAGTTTTAGGTATTTGCTCTTTGATCAAGAAACTCATACTTAGGGCAAGCTGCTACATTCAGTTAATTACTGTATCATTTATGGGAAGTAGGAGTTACAGGATTGGGGCCTTTGGAAAAGCATTCAAACTGTATTTACAGAGAAGTTTATAATAAGTGCCCCAATGATATTTTCACAAGGAGTGTACTTCAAGTTAATTTCCTGCAACACTGCATATATTTACGCCTTCCATAAATCCATATATCACCTTCCATAAATCTGTTACAGTAAAAGACTATTGATGCCATTAAACAAAGAGTATATTCATAAACAGAGGAGAGTGTTCAACTAATTGGCTCAGTATAACATGGTGTGACTCTGAAATGAATGTTCAACATAATATAGCTATATATTGGCTGAAATTGAGTAGTTGAGTCACAAGTAGAGCAGGCCTTTTGATTAGTGGGGATTTGGTTAGTTAACTCTTCCGGTGGTTCCGTTCATCCAGTGGGCCAACCATAGTTACAACTTGATACTTAATTTCAGCCATTATATTTGCATTCTGTCGTAAACAATAAATATTTGTGGTTTTGTTTCAACAGCGTCTTGGAAAAATTGACAGCATCAATGAATGGGTTGACTGTCTCTCTCAACTCCAGATTATTTGCAACATAGCTAAGAAAGGTAGGTTCATTACCTTTTGAATCTACGCATTTCTTTGTATTGGACTTAAGATATCCAGTGAGTATCTTCCCATGTATGAGTCTACCTCTTTCAGTATGTGGGTGGCAATGGGTAGATCCTGTCTCTGCTCAATAGGAGGTTCTTTTATTTCTATTTTTTTTACTGATATCATCTTTGTCGTGGGTGGCAATGGGTAGATCATGTCTCTGATCAATAGGAGGTTCTATTTTTTTTACTGATATCATCTTTGTACCTATCTGTCTTCATTGCTGTTTTATTTGTGCTGGTCAGTTGATTAGCATTTGTTAAATAGTATTTTTTTTTAATGTTGCAAATTGCCCTTAACATGGTAAATGTGGTGGAAAGACAAATGTGCATGTCTTAAATAAATGCTGTATGTAATAAAATATATTGGCATACTGAAGTGAAACATAGAGTCAGTGCATATGAAGTACCAGTGCTCTTTGGAACACATTCTTACCATCCTCACTTCATGATGCTTAGTACTGTATTTTTCCGTTTATAAGATGACCCAATGTATAAGATGACGAAGCCGTGCTTAGTACTGTATTTTTCCGTTTATAAAATGACCCAATGTATAAGATGATGACCCCTTTTCTAACTCCAAATTAGAAAATTTAAGCCTTTTCTAACTCCAAATTAGTAAATTTGATCCCTGCTTTTCCCTTCCTTTTGCTAAGCCACAGAGCTTAGCAAAAGGAAGGGAAAAGGCAAGGCTCAAAGGGCTTCCTTTGACCACTGCTTTTCCTTGCCTATGAGTTCCAGGGAGCCTAGCAAAAAGGAAGGGAAGGCTCCCTTTGGGTAAAGGCTGCACGATCAAAGCCGTTTGACCCTGAAACCCTTCCATGAAAGGGCTTCAGGATCCTAAGCCCTGCAGGGCTTGGATCCTGAAGCCCTTCCATGAAAGGGCTTCAGGATCCTAAGCCCCGCGGGGCTTAGGAAGTGGATAAAACAGGCATGAAAGTGCTACACAATCACAGCCCTTTGATCCTGAAGCAGCCCGAAGCCGCCATGGTTCATGGCTGCTTTACCCGAAGGGAGTCTTCCCTTCCTTTTTGCTAAGCCCCATGGCTTTGTAAAAGGCAGGGAAAGTGGATGCCTTCCGTGTATAAAATGACCTTCAATTTTTTGACTACTTAAGGAAAAGGTGTCGTTTTATACACGGAAAAATATGGTAAGTTGACTGGCACCAGTATTAACTGTGCTTAAAGCAGCCATGGTTTGTTTTAGACTAAAATTTGATCCTGCATTTTCACACAGGGATCATCCTTCTGTATACAGTTGGGCATATTCTGTACATAGAGAGACAAGGGGCGAGGGCTTACATACTCCTTGTTGTGCTCATGGATGCTCTCACCTGTTCCCTGTAGCCTATCAACCATGTTCGTTAAGTTTACAAATATTATGTTTTACTATATTATGGGAGTTAACAAATAAAAACTCAGTCCAGCTAAGACAATAATACTTGGGATATGGTCACTTTATTCAGAAATGTGGTATCCAAACTGTTCTGGGTGGAATTGCACTCCCATGTAAACTAGGCCTACAGCTTGATCTAGCATATTAGTGGTGCATGTCCAGGTGACATCAGTAGCTCATGCAGTTTTTCATCAGCTTTGGTTGGTGTGCTAGCTGTACTCTGTTTACAGAGAGGTCATTTGTGTCTTAGCAATTGTTTTGGGGATTTTCCTTGGAAAATGTTAGCTGATTCAGGATGCAACAGCCTTGCTGTTGACAAGGACTGAGTGCCATGAACATACTATATGGACATAAGTTGCATCAGCTATTAGTTCGTTTTCAGCCTTAACCAAGGTGCTACTTTTAGGTTTTAAAGCCTTAAGCAAACTGGGACCAGAATATCTGAAAAGTCACAACCATCCTTTATATCAGTGGTTCCCAAACTTGGGTAACTCAGGTGTTCCTGGGTTGCAGTTCCCAGAAGCCCTTGCCACCTACTCTGCTGGCCAAGGTTTCTGGGGGTTGCAGTCCAGGAACACCTAGAAACCACTGCTTATGTGAATATGCCTGGCAAAAGAGATTTTCATCAGAAGCTCTTATTCTCTGGCACTGTTGTTACTGTATTTTAGTATATCTTGTGGGCTTTTAATGGCTTTTCATACGCCCCTTAGGATTTCATTTCCCTTGTTTTTCTGTCATATTTCTACTGACTGCAGGTCTGTTTTATTGATTTTATGCTGTTTGGTGTTGTTAGAATGCTTTTACTGTTCTACCTTATTTTATTGTGACACAAATAATAACAAACATTGTGTGTACCTGTGTATCTCTCTCAGTGTGTCTTTTCATCTTTTCAGATGCAGACAGTGACTGAAAATGGAGATCCCTCTTCTGGAAAACCAAATGAGGAGAAAACGTATAAAAAGGTTTTTAAAGTTACATGTAACTTTTTCAGGATTATTATATTTTAAATCAGTTCACTCAGAGCACTAGAATTGACACAGTTACATTTTTTATTAAGCTCTCAACAGAAAACATTTATTTCAAGAACACACAAGTTGATTGTTCTAGTGTTTGGGGCAGGTTTGTGTATTGTTGTCTTTTGAATAGGGTTTTTCGATTGTTGTCTTTTGAATAGGGGTAAATGTACAGAATGTGCTAGTCATGGCCAGTAGTTCATCAACCAAGGTAAATAAGTAGTTTCCTGTCAGATCTTCAGTTCAAGGGTTCAGTTTCTGCGATTGCCGGGTAGACAAGAAAAAACTCCTGCCTCAGATGCTCAAGAGCCACTGTCAGTGTAGATGATAGTAGATCCGGTGAACCAATGTTCAGTCTGAAACAGTTTCCTGTTTTTTTAAGCTACCTCCTAGCTTGTAGAGCTGGTCCAAGTGGGATCTGCCTCCCCACTTCCAAATTCAAGGCTCATTGTACTCAGGGCTAATCAAGTTATTTAGACACCGAAGGCAGAAAATCTACAGCAATAAAAATGCAGTAACTGTAGATTAAATACTTAATACATCTCTGCCCACATGTGATAAACCAAATCAGCTGGTAGAGGCATTTTGCCTAATGGTCTTGTTGCTAAGCCCTTTCTTTATTCCATTGTTTCTTCAAGAAAAAATGTAAGTCACTTATTTACCCCTTTGGCAGTACCTTCCTTTTTCTAGGTGGGAAAAAACCCACCTCATTGAAACTATTTTCTTTTCTTGTTTTCTCTGGCATTGGCAGCACTCACCTTCACTTCCGTCTCTTTACTGACATCAAGAGAATTTCCAGAATGAAAGGACAGGGGAAGAAAATAGTTTCCTTGATCTTTCTGGATAAGAACAAAAAATTCAAGGGGTACTGATCAGATTTTTTTAATGACTTCATGTTGAACAGAATCCCTAACCTAGAGTGAAATACATTTATTTTTGCTTTTTGTCTACAATATTTTCCAGTTTGATCAGGAACCACCTGATTCCATACTTCCTGGGCATTGTTTGAAATTCTTGGTTTAAAGAGCCATTGCTCCTTTAAAAATGATCTTTTAAAAGATTTCTTACTAGAGAGGAAAGGGACTAACTACAATGACTGTGGAAGAAGCAGATCTCTAAAACTTTATTCCGAAATCATTGTAGTCCCTTTTTCCTCTAGTGCTTTATTTCCCTAATTTCTCTAGTGCTTTATTTCTTTAATTTGATCACATTTGCTCCTGCTTAAGGACCATTTGTAGTCCAGCTGGTACCAACTGAAGATGTGCAATTTATTGCCCTTTAAAAGAGTACAGTGGTGCCCTGCATGACGACGATAATGCGTTCCATTAAAATCGCTGTACAGCAAAATCGTCGTCATGCAAAAATAAAAACCCAATTGGAATGCATTAAAAACCAGTTAATGTATTCCAATGGGGGAAATACCTGCTCAACCAGCGAAGATCCTCCATAGGGCAGCACTTTTGCGATCCCTGTCTTGCGGAAATAGGTTTGGAAAACAGCGGGGAATCATTTTGCGAACTGCCGATCAGCTGTTTTAAATCGTCGTCCAGCGAAAAAACGGTTCCCGAAGCAGGGACCGAACCAACGTAAAGCAAAAAAAACCCCATAGGAACCATCGTCAAGTGATTTTGACATCATGCGGGGTAAGCGTCTAGCGGGGCATCACTGTATACTGAGCCTTGTGGCGCAGTGGTTAAACTGCTGTACTGCAGCCAAAACTGTGCTCATGACCTGGGGTTCAATCCCAGGTAGCCGGCTCAAGGTTGACTCAGCCTTCTATCCTTCCAAGGCCGGTAAAATGAGTACCCAGCTCGCTGGGGGGGGGCAATGTGTAGCCTGCATAATTAACTTGTAAACCGCCCAGAGAGTGCTTGAAGCGTTATGGGGTGGTATATAAGCAGCACGCTTTGCTTTGTATCTGAATTTACTGATTTATTTCTAATAGTGAACATTGTTGGTTTAGTATCAATTTGATGACCCGGGAGCCATTTCTATGTACTTCTCATAATTCTTCCGCAAGGTTATTTTTGTATTCTGAGAAGTGGTATCTTTCAATATTACTCATCTTGCACAGCTGTAGTGCATCTGGCCCATTGTTTCCATAGTTCAGCAACATGCTTCAATTGCCTGCAATCCTATAAAACCTAACATTTAACCTAGTCTGATTTTTGCAGTGGTAGAGGTAATTACTGATAAATTCTAAAACTGTCAGTTAAAAGTGAGACATTTAGCTGGTTAGGCCAGCTCCTAAGTTTTGCAGTCGTTTTATTTATACAAAATGTGTAGAATCTCAATTTGCATTAAGCATAAATGAAGTAACATTAATTTCAAGGTCAATCAGCAGTTGAAGAATCCTTTAGAAAAGCACAGTGTGAGAGACCAGAATACAGAGTAGGTGAGTCAGCAGTCCCTTCTTTGCCAGCCCTCCCCCTCCCCAAATGTCTAAATGACTGTAGTCCGCAAGATCAGCCACCTCAAGCTCTGGTATCTCGAGGCTGTGACTAAGTAGGTAGATTCATTCTCATGTGCCAGGATTTAAAACTAACTAATCTAAGAAAACTTTTGTTGATTGTATTCTGGGATATTTTCTGACCTCACTAGAATTCCGAAATATTGAAGGTTAGCAGTGGTGAAATTAGTTAGGGCTGTATTTAGTGCACACATCTTTCTTTTCTCCTGAATGCACTGAGAATCTAATGTCCCTATCTCAACCCAATTGGGGGCCAACCTGCTGACAACCAGACTACATCACTTCTGATTCTCGGCATCATGATGTGGCTAAAACAGGCCCAGGACACACACATTCTGATAAATTACATTAAATGGCAATAAATTTAATAAAACAATTTTAGCAGGTCTTTTTGTCTCTCCCCCCCCCCATTCATACCTGGCAAGTAGTTGAAATTTGGGAGCACTATTTTTCAGCTCATAAAATGATAGAATTACTCCATTATACTGTATATCCGGTTCTGTAAGGGTTGTGCAATGAAACTTGCCTCTGGTAGACTAAAATGGCCCATCTTAGTGCATGAAGGTTAAAAACGCAAGGTCTTTTTACAGATTTTGGCTGTGAATGTTCTCGCCCGTTTTTCTGTCCACCCTTTTTGGCAGTTTCCTAAATGTAAGGGTCAAAACATTGTTAATTTTCATGGAGAAATTGTGCACTCTAACCTGACTTCATTATTGCTTGCATATCAGTGGCTTCCTGGAGGGCAAAATGAGAATGGCCTATAAAATCTGTGCAAGGAGCAAGATAAGCTGCCAAATTGGGCCTTGTATACTCCTCTCTGTTGCTAGTCTGCTGTTGTTTCTCTAACAGCCATATGATGCCTTTTGATGAGATGAAACGTTGGCTGTAGGTGAAGAGAGTTTGTTAACCATTACAGGGCCTAATGAGGAAGTATTTTATCACAAATACTACCGTACCTCCACAAGAGCAGGCGATTCCTTTGTTGTTCTATAAAGACAAGGAGTCTTGCGGGTATTCCTGACCTAATCTTATATATCCCTTTTGTTAATATATGCCTCTAATTGAGGATTGGCTAATTTCAGACTGGTATGTGAATTGCCTTATTTTAAAGGAGTTTCAAAAGGATAGAGAAAGCTACTAAAAACGGTAGGGCTGTTAAACCAAACACATGCTCTGCCATTCTGACAACCATTTAAAAACATATACTGATTGGCCATGGGATTTCATCAGCTATTAGGAAGAGAAATCATCAGGAGATGGGACCTTACAGAAACTACAGTAGACATAGAACCTGTTGCCTTGCTGTGTGCTTGATGGGTCATGAGGGTAGAAGAGCCCCAACGATGAGGGTAGGCCTGAGCAGCCAAATGGAAGGAAGAATGGATGGATGGACAGACAGTGGAACAGTCTGGAATGACTGTTTCACAAGAGGGAGAGAAGCCAGTAGGGTTAGGGTCTGAGAGGAGATGTCTCCTGGGGGATTCTTCGGGCCTGTCACCAGGAGACGATTGGTTATTGTCATGCTCCTTTGAGGAGAGCCATGGATACGCTGAAGCTTTTGTATCTGTCAGCTCTGATCCACTGTGTTTTTAAAGAAGCACAATGTGGACAGTTTCAGTAAGAGCTCAAGTGACAGACAACCTTGTAGGAGTCTGGCAAGTGTGGACTCAGAATCCCAGCATTGCTTCCCTGGAAAATGAAGCCACGTCTTAAAACATGGAGGTGGAACTAAAGGAAAAGGTGGATTTAACCATTTGCTGCCTCATTGAGGGAAATGAAGAATCCTGGATAATAATAAACTTTCTATACCTGTCTGTGCATTGTGAGGTTTGTGCTTTGATGAGCCCCTACCCAAGAATTCCTGTCCTCATATAAATTCAAAGGCAAGGTTGTAGCTTATTCTTTAAAACTACTGTACTATTATAGATGAATATAGAATTTCATGTTATTCATTCTACAGTAATGCCTTTTAACAGTAACCACAGAACTTACAGAGGCATAATTCTATTTTGAGAGGATGTATGAAAAGGCAAAAGCATGGAAAGTTTTAGTTTCTAATGTGACATCTAATCATCCATAGGATAAAATGTAATCATACAAATACGTACATCTAACATTTATTAGTATTTTCCCGTTCTATCCTTCTAGAGATAATTTTAGCAACCATATTTCTTTTTGGTTTTTTGCTCAGTTAAATCATGAGGTTCATTTGTTTGTTCAAGTAATAAAATTGGCCACCATATGAGATTTGCAGACAGGAATATATGTACATAGAAACACAAACCTATGTTTGTGTAATATGTTTGCGTCATTACTTGCTTCAGTTTACCTTGCTGAAACTCATTTACATAGCTTTGGAAAGGACTTGAGACAATATCCTTTCTAAGACCCAGATAGCATAGTGGAAGATTATAGGTGCAGTTCCTAAACAATTCACACACCCTAGAGAGTTCAGTTTGTCTACATCAACATAGGTACA